TGTATGACGACCCTAGTCTACATATGCCACTTCGTTTGTCTTGTACGACGACGAAACACCTTCAAACTTCATTCGGAACAACTGTGATACTACCCGCGAAGACAGGGGGTGAAAAAGAGATAGTCTTTGGAAAAGGGGAACCATCCCCTACTCCGGATCATTTCTTGAACATTAATTCGGATGAAGAAGAACCCGGGCGACATTTCTCTCGGTACAGTTCACAAGCGAATGATTATATGACATCATCCGATGACGATTATGGCCAACAGATTATTAACCAATTAATAGACAGGAGTGGGCATTCATCCGACACTTCAAATTGGGATTCTGATGTGAGCATTGGAGAAAAGTTCAAAAGTCTCATGTCAAACATGGCAACAGTCGATCCTTCTGCAATAGAAGAAGACGATCAGTTGCCCACTTGGGAAGATCCTTGGACACATTACATGAATATTCAATACGGTGATCGATTCGAGCAAAGAGAACCTCCTACTGAAGATAAAGTGGTCCAAGTTAATATGGGTGACGAAGCTAATCCGAAACCTATATTTATTAGCGGTGATCTCCCACCAGATGAAAAAGAGGAATTAATCGCCCTCGTTAAAGAGTATATCGACGTTTTCGCCTGGAATTACGAAGATATGCCGGGACTCGACCCAAATGTAGCAATGCACAGCCTTAACATTAAACCGGATGTTAAACCTGTCAAACAACAACAAAGACAGTTTCGTCCGCAGATTATGGAGGCAATAGAAGCTGAAGTCAAGAAGCTAATTGATTCAGGTTTTGTCAGAGAAGAATAACATCCTGAATGGTTGGCCAATATCGTACCAGTCCTTAAAAAGAACGGAAAAATTAGAATCTGTATTGACTTCAGAGATTTGAATACGGCCTGTCCCAAAGACGATTTTCCTCTCCCAATTACGGATATCATCATTGACAATACATGCGGGTTCGAGAGAATGTCATTCATGGATGGATTTTCTGGGTATAATCAAATCAAGAGCACCCGGATGATGAGAAGCATACAGCATTCAGAACACCCCTTGGCGTCTTTTGTTATACTGTTATGCCATTCGATTTAAAGAATGCCGGCGCTACATATCAACGAGCAATGACAAAAATCTTTCAAGAGCACCTCCGGAAGACCGTCGAATGTTACGTCGATGACCTGGTCGTTAAGAGTCGTGATAAAAACGACCACATTAACGATCTGAAGACAATGTTCGAGCTTATGAGAACTCATCAGCTGAAAATGAACCCGACTAAATCCTTCCTTGGAATGTCGAGCGGTAAATTTCTTGGATTCGTCGTCACCACAAAAGGTATTCATATTGATCCTGATAAGGTGAAGGCAATACATGAGCTACAACCCCTGAGAAATCTTAAAGAACTCAGAGGGTTGCAAGGTCGATTGGCATACATCCGTCGGTTTATATCAAATCTTTCTGGAAAATGTCAACCGTTCTCTAAACTCGCGAAGAAAGGCGTGTCATTCGTTTGGGATGAAGCATGCCAAAAGGCATTCGAGGATATTAAGAAATATCTGGCGAATCCACCTATTCTCGTTGTACCGAAATCGGGCAAACCGTTTTTTATTTATGTCAAAGCGACGAGCCATTCGTTAAGTGCATTACTTGCACAAGACGACGATAACGGTCACGAGCAAGCTGTGTATTATCTGAGTCGTACATTGCTAGGAGCTGAATCTCGTTATCCGATGATTGAGAAAGAATGCCTCGCCTTGGTATTCGCGATTCAGAAAATGAGACATTATTTAGTCGGACAGACGATTTATGTCATTTCCAACATAAATCCCGTCCGAGTGTTCATGACCCAACCGGCTTCCATGAATTGGCGGTTGACCAGATGGGCTTTACTCCTATCGCAATATGACTTGTACTTCAAGCAACAGAAATCTATTAAAGGACGAGCTATTTGCGATCTTCTGGCGGAAAACCCTACGAAGGATGTAGTCGAATTGTACGACGATTTGCCAGATGAAACTCACGAAGTTAATACCACCTCACATCAACAAGTGTGGCAATTGTACTTCGATGGGGCTTCCCGATCAACCAACGTAGCAAGTGCACCCGGATGTTCTAAAATCTCCTCAGGAGTGGGGGTCGTTTTAGTTTTCCCGAAAAAGCATGTCTTGCCTAGAGCATACTCGTTAACCGAACCATTCTCTAATAACGTAGCCGAGTACAATGCATTGATAATTGGACTCAACTTTGCCAAAGAGCTGGGGGTCGAATACCTTGAAGCTTTTGGAGATTCTCAACTGGTAGTTAATCAGATTCGAGGAGAGTATGAAGTCAGAAATCAAGACCTGATTCCATACCACCAGGTGGCCATTGAGGTGGCAAGCTCGTTTGAAGAATTTTTCATCGAGTACGTTCCGCGTCTCCAAAATACATACGCGGATGCATTGGCAGCATTGTCAGTATCCTTGGCTCAACCTCCCGAAACAGAGCAATTAATTACAGTGAGGACTCATCAGCTTATTGTTCCAATCTACGATTCGAATGCTAAAGAGGTATACTCAACTGGAGTTGAACCCGAAGTTCGAGATTGGCGTTTTCCTATTATTGACTACGTCTTACATGGTATATTACCTGAAGATGTAAGAGAAAGGGAATCGATTCGGCGAAGAGCGCCGAGATTTTATTACAATGCCACATCGCAAACGTTGTCGGTTAAAGGGGACCGTTTCATTTTGGCAATCACCGACTATTTCTCGAAATGGGCAGAAGCAGTTCCACTTAGAGAAGTAAAGACGACTGATGTTATCAAATTTATCAAACACCATATCATATATCGGTATGGTGTGCCAAGGTGAATAGTACACGACAACGGTCCTCAGTTCGTGAGCAACGCATTTATCAAATTCTACGGTAAATTCGGGATTAAAGACGTCTCGTCGACTGCTTATAATCCTACAGCTAACGGATTAGCCGAATATTTTAACAAGACTATCATCAAAATTCTGGTAAAATTAGTGAAAACCAATAAACGAGATTGGGACGACAAACTCGGCGAAGCTCTCTGGGCTTATCGTACTACCGTCCGCACGCCTACCGGAGCCACCCCGTATGCTTTAACATATGGGTGTGAAGCCGTCCTTCCATTAGAAATACAGATTCCTTCTCTCCGCATCGCTCTCGTAACGGGAATGACGACGGAAGAACATCATCAGAAACGTCTTGAGGAATTAGAGATGTTAGATGAGAAGCGCTTGGAAGCTCAACAACAGATCGAGTTTATCAAGCTAGAATCTCTCGGGCTTTTGATAAAAATGTCCGACGACGAAGCTTTAAAGAAGGAGATCTGGTTCTTGCTGTCCGAAGACCTATGATTCTCACTTCTAAGAAGAAAGGCAAATTTGAACCTAAATGGGAAGGACCGTTCGTTATAGAGACAGTCTATTCAAACGGTGCTTATCGCCTGATTACTCAGGATGGTCGCAAATTGATGATGCCAATAAATGGGAAGTTCCTAAAAAAGTATTATCCGTAATACGTTCAGGATAACCTATGTAAAATGGAAAGTTCCTAGAGAACCCTGTATAGGATATTTCAGGATAACCCGATATCAGTTGATTATTCTAAATGAAGACTGATCATGTGAATAATCTATTCTTAATTGTTATAAAAATGATTAAGATCTCCTTATTATTCTTGTTGAGATGAGATTTAATGACAGTTAATCTTTCCTCACAAAATCCGTCACCGATCAAGGCAATCGACGAGGGGTCCATTGGAATCTGACACGGGTTTGAATCCATTCAAACCCCCACTCTACCTAAGCCTTTAACATTCCCACTGTTTAAGTCTTGACACAATCTCCAAAATTTCATGCAGCTGATTCATAGCAATTATCAAATCTCTCCGTGTTAAGTCCTTATCGCTTGACACCAAAAAAATTCTCACCAGGCGTTGTGTACAAGTTAACATTCCCATCGTTATTCGTACTTCGCCCCCACTTCTTATTTGGTCAAACCTTTAAATAGTTAGGACCATAACCAAAATCCCCTCTCGATTCCTTCCATGAATGAGAGGTCCACAAAACGAGCGGTTAAACCTTCCTACAGTTAGGATCGTCTTAAAACCCCCACTTGGTCAAACCTTACTACAGTTAGGACCACAGTCAAAATCTCCTTTCGATTCATTTTTGCGAACGAAATGTCCACTTTTGAATTGAGTAATCAAACATTATGACAGTTAGGATTATTCAAACCAATCCAGATTCTCTAAGTGGAAATCCCACTTTGAGTTTCCCTTTGCATCAGGAGATAGAATATAAAATTCTTCCTCTCCAATTCTAGGTTTATCTCTACCAACAAACAAGAGACCAGGAGATAGAATATAAAATTCTTCCTCTCCAATTCTGGGTTTATCTCTACCAACAAACAAGAGACCAGGAGATAGAATATAAAATTCTTTCTCTCCGATTTTAGGTTTATCTCTACCAACAAACAAGAAACCAGGAGATAGAATATAAAATTCTTCCTCTCCAATTCCGGGTTTATCTCTACCAACAAACAAGAGACCAGGAGATAGAATATAAAACTCTTCCTCTCCATCATCGGGTTCATCTCTACCAACAAACAAGAGACCAGGAGATAGAATATAAAATTCTTCCTCTCCAATTCTGGGTTTATCTCTACCAACAAACAAGAGACCAGGAGATAGAATATAAAATTCTTCCTCTCCAATTCTGGGTTTATCTCTACCAACAAACAAGAGACCAGGAGATAGAATATAAAATTGGATTCAATATATTGACCAAGAGTGTTCAAACAAAGCTAAAAAGAAATATATGTTCTCCAATTACAAAAGTTTATATTGACTAATCTGATTTTCAAGTTTTGAAAGCTCTAATGCATAAGCCTGTTCAAGCTCAGCCGCCAATTTAATCTTGAAGGCTTCTTCGTCAACACTTTGAAGCGCGGCGACCTCTTGTTCCTTTTCAGCAAGTATTTTGTCTTGAAGGTTCAGCTACTGTAACAGGTTTTCTTCAACCTGAGTTTCCTGCTTCAACTCGGACTCCAAGACATCATAAGCATCCTTGGCCATTGCAAGTTCCTCCTCTAAGCGAGCTATTTCCGCTCGACTCGATTCTAAATCCCGGCGTAGGTTAACCTTGGCTTGTGTTCTTTTGCCAACATTCACCCTAAGTTGATCACTTCGGGCTCTTAGCTTTTGAAGTTCGAGGTTAGCTGATTGTTGGGAATCACGCCACGCTTGCAAATTGGATTCCATGTGGGAAGCGATGTAAGAGGGTATGCCTTTGGTACGAAGAGCTTGTAGAAGTTCAACATGTCGCTTCAAATCAACCAAATAAGCGTTGATTGAATCGGCTAACTCACTATACCCTTCCTCTTTGAACCCTGATATAAAACGCCCAAGAGATTTGTTATAACTCTCAAAGTACGATCCTTTGAAGAGAATACGATCCACCATAGAGTTCAAGAAGGGGATGAAGCCTTGGAGATTAGAACAGATGACGGCCTTATCCGGATCGTCGTCGACCAACAGAGCGTGAATCTGATCTGATAATGATGAAGAAAGATCTGCAAAGAGAACAAAAGAAATAAATATAAGATATGCACGCTCGCATACAGCAATGAATAGAATTATCCCAAATTCAATAGGAAATTCTATAATTTGATTACCTTGACTTGTCGATGCTGGGACACGCTCCACGACAACCGAAGTTTGTGCAGAGATGGTGCTGGACGGTGGATTCACCACATCAGGCTGTTGTTCAATTGCGATTTCTGATGGCTTCGAATTCAAATCGACAAGATCTTGAGGAACAAATCCTATGAATGAGAAATGGATGAATGAACATTCTCCAAATATGGATCTAATTACGGGATACATTAGAGGAAAAATGTACCAAGTTGAGCCGAAGTAGCAGGGGGTTGCTCTTCTACTGTAACCTTCGACCCTCCTGCTTCATGAACCACTGGAGTCGGAGCGGAAGGCACAACAGGTTCAACCTCGACAATAGCGGAAGTTGGAGGAATAGTAACTGGCGGGTCAACTTCAGCTGGGGGACTTGCCAAAGGTAAGAAACCCAAGCCTTCAGGTTGATCGCACTCACCAATGATGGTAGAAGTATCAACTTTATTCGTTGGTCCTACGTCTAAAATTCTTATTTCAGTCATCCAAAAGCAATAAGAGATGAAAGTATAGTTAAAAACTTGAGTCTGAAAGGACATACCTTTTGATGCACCTACTTCAGTTGAATCAACTCGACTAGTTGGTCTTGCAGTAGCAGGTGGAACCGGAGCTGACAGTATATCGGAGATCTCCTGGTGTACATCTTCGAAAATATCAAGATCAAAATCACGTTCATCGAAATCTCCGATACCCATATCATGGGTAAGTTCTGTGGCTCTCGGTTCGTTGACATGGATGTCTATTAAGTAGAAGAATCCATCAATGCATATGCAAGAAGTACGAAAGAATCAAAGCAAACAAAATAAGGTTACCTTCAATAGCAGTTGCGGGATCAGCAGCGCTACTACCCGCACTCACCTCCTTTAGTTTAACTAAAAGAAGATAAAGCGCACAAGTTAGTAGGAGAGGAACACGTTCCGATTCACTTATCTCCCGGAAATGCCCCCCAAATGAGAAAACATCTGTACCTGTGTCAGCGGTTGGCGAGGTCGATGTAGTGGCCGGAGGGGCAGTGTCCATATTGAGGGGTTCTTCACTCATCGCTCTTTGTACCTGTTGAGTAAAGCTGGATTCATCAACATCCATTAAACCCAGAGAAGAAGGCTCGGGAATGATTTCTCCTTCCTCTTCTAGCTCAACTGCAATAGCAAAAGAATAAATAAGATGCTATATTCAAAGATAAGATAATGAAAAGGAGATAAAATGAGATTTTACCCCCTTTATCAACTGGAAGATCCTGAGTAAATCTCTCTTCAAGTAATGGGGAAAGTTGACGTTGGTGATGAGCTGTCTTCTTAATCCTCTTTGAAGCACGAGAATCACGAGGAACCTCAGAGCTCTCATGGCGAAACTTGGTGCGTAGTTCGGTTCCTTGAGCTGGCCGAGGTTGAACCTCAGAAGGAGCAGTAGGCCGAGATCTTTTCCTGCTAAGAAGCGGGACAACGTCTTCTTCCTCTTCTTCCGCCTCTTCCTCCCGCGCGGGCCATTGAACAGTCATCTTGTTGGAAGTCGACAAAGGAATGTTCTTTTCCTTCATCTGTATACCTTTTGAAGGAATACCCGGTGACGAGGGTGAAGAAGCCCGACGAGTTCTGTAGGCCACAGGAGAAGGAGGAATATTAATCTCCGTCTCATCTTCCTCACTGGATGTCTCGAAGTCGTCACTCTCTTCGGAATCAGCTGCCCGTTTTCCTTTGCGGGAAGATGTAGCAGGTTCCTTTCCTTTTCTAGATACAATTCTCCGAACCACAGCCTCGGATTCCAGTTCGGAAATCTTCTTCTTCGCAAGAGGAGTGTTGGCGGCCAAAATCCACCGGCAGTAGAGGAAAGTTAAGTGAAGATCAGGCTCAGCGATAGGCAAACTAAACTGAGTTTCGGTACAGCCAGCAACATTCCAGAACCAAGCTCGTACTCCATCAATGAGACCTCCGCAGTTTATTAACCATTTATTGGGATTCCCGACGTACAGCTGACTGTAGCCGAATTGTCGCGCAAAACGGCAAGGAAAATAAGGCTCGATCCTGCAAAGGTTCTTCGATCGGAAAACATTATAACATGGTCGAATGTTCATGAGCCAATGGAAGCTGCCCATGTCGAGAGAAGTCCTGTTAGCCCCAGGCATTTCCTCATCAACGAGAGTGTCATTATATGCACCAGAAAATCGAGGGAAACACTTGTAAAATTCCCAGCACTTGGCATTTTTAAACTGCCTCACCCTGTCAGGCCACTGTCGGGAAGGATACAACCACTTACTTCCCTCCAAGAGCTGTAGCAACGGAATTTCTGGATCAGACACGTCAGGTGCTGACATCATGTCCGTTCGGTGGAGGACCAGCCACGCCATTAAATATGTGTACGGCAGTTCAACGCTCGACAGGGGAATCTTAGTCGAAGGCTCAGTACCCGTTTTTGTAAAAGTGGTGGCCAAGTTACGCAAACCACTATGGAGGTCAGCCATCATAGCGGAGAGTAAAGATAACCTACCGCCGACGGCTAATTGCACAGCGAGAAGGAGAACCTCCAGAGGAAGTGCCTCAGAAGATTGATGCGGCACTACACATTTCTTTAGCCATATAGCCAGATAACCGGAGAGGAGAGTCGCAGGCTTCATTCTCTTTGTGGATTGCCACAAGAAAGTGCTGAATTTTGTGCCTCTAAGAAAACCACCTTCAGATGACTCAGTTCTGTAAGACTGAGCATTAATCTTTGTGATTAGCTGATTAACGTCAGCAGGGGTCAGAATCGGCAATTCACAGACAGCTTCACCGGTCACGCTCTCGAGGTTCTGAAACAAGTAGTCGGCGAACTGTTTTAAACTCACTCGAGCCGCCTTCTTACTCTTCACTTCGATCTTGGCTATCGCTGTCTGATAATGACAAGTTAACTCCCAGAGAATGTCATAAGCAGGAGAGCCAGCCTTCTTCATCTTCATAAGCTGACGATTGTTGGGAAAATATTCTTGATAAGGAGTATTCCCCAATGGCAATCCGGATACTTTCATCATTTCATGGAGCGGAAGCCCTAACTCCCCATATTTGGTAAGAAATGTATTTGTTTCCGGAATATAAGACTCGAACAAGGCAAGGAAGTGATCTACACTGACTGGGAGACCATGCATGCTGGATCGGATTGGAGCATATAATCCCAAATTCCTTAACTCTTGATCCCACCGATGGAGTACATAGTTGGTCATCCTAGCCCACCATTTGTCGGGAAGAGAATGAACCCATCCATAACATCTGAATTTTGGAATGGGAAATTCTCTGCCAACCCGAGCGAGCCTATTCTTTACCGTATTGGCCCTTATCATCAGTTCATTCTGGGGGCCACCATCTGGTCCAAATATTCCCGGATGAAGACCACGGATATTATGCCTACCGATAGAGCCAGGAGCACTAACATCATTACCAATGAATCCGCAATGAATGCGCTCATGATCTTCTGTCAGGTGCCACGTCATTTTCCTCGAAACAGCCAGATTCCTTAATTGCAGAATTGAATAATGGCGAGGGAATGGAGGAAGGAATAGAAAAGCACCTTCGTGCTCATTCAACCAAATTTCAGGCCCGCGGCAAAGAGTATCTGGATCTTCAACTGAATCCCCGAATAAATAATCTGTCTTCTTTAAAGGCTCTGTGGAATCCCGGGTCGGAGTTAAAGGCGAATCAGTCAACAAAGCACGTAAGGTGCGACGATTGCCTTCACGAATCAATCCGGGGATGCTATCATCACAACCCTCGTTAAATTGGCGGGCTTCTCTAACCAGGAAGTCACCGCTGAAAGAGGCGTGAAGAATACCGCTCTGACCTGGGTCTTCTCTATCAGAGAAGGCCACAGAGGGAAAAGGGACTGCAGAGAAAAGTTGGAAAACAGTTGAATGGAAAGGCTAAACATAGCAAAACCTTCCACACTTAGCCGACGCGGCAATGATTGCTGCCGTGCGTTACCGCGGCAGCATACACTGTCGCGCTCAGGCGCGACAGCACGAGTTGCCGCGGTAACTGAACCACGGTCCTCAATGTTGAAAAGCCTCTAATTCGATGAAAACTCGAATTTTGGCCGTGGTACACATCTTGATTGAACAAGATACGTATTTTTCAGCGTCAGTCCTCTCAGAGGAGAACGTCAACTCTTCCCGGATGCCCCTCAAAGGAGACAAGCGAGGTGATCTGGTCAAAAACAGTATTTTTAAACAGATAAAGAGTTGGGAAATTACCTCCAAACGGCATGGCAGTAGTCTCGACCTCCTCAGGTGCTGGTGCCGCAGATTTCCCCTTCGAAACACGAGCCTTCTTGGGAGACATGATGAAATCGACCTAAAGAATCAAAAAACTAGGGTTTTTAGATGAGATCCCGAGCAAAAGTCGAAATTAAAACCCAAAACGTGATCAATAGGTTCGGTTTTACCTGAGGATAAAAGATATTAACCTCGAAAGTTGAAAGAACCGAGGAAAATCTCAAAGTTTGGGGAAAAAATGTGAAACCCTAGATCTTGTTAGAGAAAAAATCGCATAAAATTCGAAGAGATGGGGAAGAGGAAAGCCAAACGACCTTTTATAAGGTATTTGAGAGAATTTGAATGGATTTTGAACTCAGAGAAGCGGGTAAAAATGACCCGAGAAGACCCAACAGCAGACTTATAAGCCCGGCTGGCCGAAGCGATGCGCGGCAGTCTATACTGTCGCGCTCGAGCGCGACAGTCCATGCTGCAGCGTTCAAGCACGGCAGTATATGCTGTCGCGGCTATGGATATTTTCATAGTCCACACTGCTGCACAGGAGCACCATGCATACACGATGATCCCTGGGGTGTTTGAACACATACATCTCCTGCTGTATCTGGAATACATACCTGAACACTCCGATGAGTATATGAGTATAAACTGCATCTCCCTGAACCTCCCAACGGGTATATGAGGTTAAACTATTTCTCGAACACTCCAATATAGTATATGAGTATAAACTATTTCTCAAATTCTTCGACAGCAGTTCTAATTCGAGACTTCGACAACGGCCACGCGATAAACGCAGCACCGGAGGAATTTTAGCTATTCTACAAAGCACTGAATAGGCTAAAAGATGAAGAAGTCAAGGATTGAAGCCATTCACAAACCGTTCTACGCAATTTCCTTAATGAAGCACTGGAGAGATTGCAAGGAAAGCTTATCATATCCAAAGTGTCCCAGACCCCTCTCTAAAAAATGATGAGTCTGAGATACTTTGGAGGGGGTATCTGTAGGCGTTAAAAATGCTTACAGACATCCAAACACCACTCAAAACAACATAGAAGAACAATATACACATCATCAAGTAACACATGGAGGCGCGGCAGGACATGATGCCGCGGCTAAGGCGCGGCAGACCATGGTGCCGCGGCTAAGGCGCGGCAGCCTAGGGTGCCGAAGCAGTTAAACCACGAAAAAAGTGGTTAAAGGTCGTGAGAGAGCGGTTTCAAGCACGATGAAACGTGCTGGTAACTGCCTCTTTGGCCGCGGCAGCCTATACTGCCGCGCCAATAGCCGCGGCAGTGTAGACTGCAGTGGCCAAAGAGAAAACATCCGATCGGTTATGTTGCCCCCGTTTCAACTGTTGTGCACTCCTACCCCTATAAATACCTCCCTAAACACGAAATAAAGGACGGAGAGCATTTTGGAGCAGAAGAGGCTTGAGCTTTCAGTGATTTTGAAGAAGAGAGAGAACTTTCACCCTTTGACAAGCATCATTCGGTGATTCCTAGAGATCTAAGCTCAGACTTGATCTTTGGAAGAACGGACATCTTACATCGATAAGATATTCGTTTTCAAATCTTTACTTCGATAAACGAATGAGAGATCCCTAAGCACCCTCACGATCTTTGAATCGGTGGTCAACGAGCCAAAGCACTCACGGCACAGGCAAAGTCCCACAAAGCAGGAGTTGATAGACAATTTCTGTGTTATTTTCTCGAGAGTTGTATTTTCGTTTATTTTCATTGTAATTTCGTGTAAACAAATTAAAGTTTAATGGAATCGACAATGGAGTCAACTTTCGCTGAAAACAGAGTTTTGTATTGTTTGGGCTTTGCATAACACACACACGCACGCACACACGCATGCCACGCGACGCGCACGCCACGCCGCACGTGCACACGCACTTTTTTTATTTTCTCTGGCTTTATTTTGCATGTTTTTCACATGTGTAACGGCTGTGGATTTATTGCGTAACGATCGACATTATGGAGAATGTTACCAAATTTATTGAGGGGTTTGTAATGGCTATCTAAAAGCCTATATATATAGCCTTTCACTTATTCGGAACACAACAACAATTATATTCTTTCTCTTCTCTCCTCTGTTAATTATTTTATTCTATATTTTCGATTTTACTTTTTGGGCAACTTTCCTCATCTGAGCAAAAGCTCTGTTCTCTCACCCGAGTACAGAGGTCGGCCGTTTCTAGGGGTTTTTACCACTAGGAGAGAGAGGATTATTTGCGTCAGGGGATAGGCGGGTCCTTAATCTTTTAGGACAGTGATTATACGACTGCTCCCGTTCAGGTCAGATTTTATTGTTTTATTTTATTTGAATTTATCTGCATGCTATTTTATTGTTTTATTTGATATTTTTCTAACAATCTAGAAGGTTAATAGTCTATAGCTTTTGTTTTTATACCAGGAAAATTAATGTTCATTATAAGTTACTGTTCACTCGAAAAAGAATTACACTTCTTGTTTGTTCTAAAAAATTAATTCATTTTATTGTTCATCTTTAAAAAATTGGAAACACTGTTCATCCCGGAAAAAATCGAGAATACTATTCATCCGGGAAGTAAAATTTTGGGATTACTGTTCATCTGAAATAACTTTAAATCTATAATTAATTATTTTAATTATTATTATTTAATGTATTTATTACATTTATTTAATTGCTATTAATTAAGTAGTAATTAATTACTACTAATTAATTTTAACAGATAATTACAATTAATTGTATCTTGTAATTGATTGTATTGTTAATTAGTTACTATTTTAAATTTTTTAAAAAATTATTACTTTTGGTGGAAAAAGGAAAATTTATGTCACATTCCACTTCACATGGGAAGCACCTATTTGCATACCATAAAATGGTTGAATAATTAATGGCTCATTCTTAATTTGGTAAATATTGTTTGCATTGTTATTGTGACAGTCATGTTCGCATGACTATACAACTTTTGTTTGTGAAACCTTAAAATGTTTATATTATAACAATATTATATATGCACGGACTTTTCTAATTATTTGTTGATCAGGAAAACATGGTTTTTGGTTTCAAAAAATTTGTTTTTCAAAATATTATAATCTCAGCTATGAACTGGAACTTTCATGGTTTTATGCACCCGTTAGTAATATTTTGTATAATTAACTTTCCTTTTGATTTTAAGTACCTAAGTTCTCAAACAGCAAAACATTCTCACCAAGCTAGTGGATCAAAGTAGCTAGTACATTACTGATGCAATTTTCTAAAGAAGCACTTTGTTCACATCTTGTTTATAAAAAAAAAATTGTAATTTAAATTGTTCTCAATAAATTTGCATGTTTAATAGCCAATAATATTTATCATATTTCCATGAAATTAGATCACGAATCACATATTTGGATACTTGATTTGAGTATCAACTAAGTAGCAAAGAAAAATGACCAAATTCTGCATTGTGATATGCTTACTCTTCATACTAATCTGTGTTATCAGGGCCCTATGTTGGTAAGTTTATGATGTGTCATATGCTTTGTAATTCATTCTATATTGATCTGTTATAGCCTTATTGAATAAGATCGTAGAAATTGATTCCACTGTCATTTGAATACTAAAGGTTCTATTAGACACGTATGTTCATTATCTTGAAATACCTATACTGCCAGTAAAATGTTAAAAGAAATTTTTTTTTTGAAATTGGAAGTGGCCCCTTGGAAACAGAGGTTACACATTAAATATTTTCTACTAATGATATTTGCTTATAGTTAATGCTTTCATTTCTTTAAGCTATCAGTACGGTGCCTTCTATTATTAATTCCATACATTGGATTGTTTATGCATCTAACAAGCTTAGTCAGAAGGTGGCAAAAGTGAATGTAGATTTGTTCAGAAACCTATGTGGCAGTTGTCTGCAACAGATATACTTATCAATATTATTTTCTTATGTGGGCATCATTGAAATTATATTGAAATTAGTCCATTAAATAATTAAAATTGCTATTAGGCTCCCTTATTCTTATAAGTTGTTTCAAATTAATCTCTTTTCTTGCTACTTGTTCTCTTGCCTGGAGAGACTAGTTTCAAAATAACTTAACAACTAGGGGACCTAATGCCAATTTCAACAATGAATGGCTAATTTTAAAATAACTTAAGAACTAGAGGACTCGATAACTCTGTACAATGCCTACTAGACAAAAACTGTGATCTTAGACTTTGTAAAGTTTGAGAAGAATCTTACTGACCCTTTGACTAAGGGTTTATCCAAGAGTGTGGTTCTAGATTCATCAAGGGAGATGTGGTTAAGCCCATAAGTGAGGTCACTGACAGTGGTAACCCAACCTTTATTTAGAGACTTAGTCACAATGTAGATTCAATATAGTAGAAACAAGCTGGACTGGTGACACTCGTGTAGAGCATCAACCTAGATATACTTATATATCATTATGGTAGCATCTGCTACTTTTTCTTCTCTAGCATCAGCTACTTTTCCTTCTCTATAGTGACGATGCTCTTATGATACAACTGGTTAGGCTGAGTTTTACTCTTAATAAGTCTAACACGTGTATTGCGGAGAGTATGATATCCAACTGTAATACCCTTGGAGGACTTACCTACGTGAGAGGAACCGTGATGGCCATGGTTGGGGGGGTCTGGGCTAACCCCTAAAAACTCTCATGAGTCGGTTTATTGTGAGCATGGCCTTTAACGCTCAACCCGTTTTGCTCAATAGATAAATATGTATTGTGTGTGTTTTTATTAATACCTGGTTAAAGGGGGCCTAATTCAAAACCTAGTCCATTATGTCATTTAGGTGACGATGAACTCACTAAGAAAATGTACAAAGCCGAAAGTTACCTCTCCCGAATTCACGATACGAAAGGTTATCCAACCTATATTTGTTTGTGATTTATTGATTTATTTATTAATTTTGAGTTTTCAGTCAATATTGCCTTTTGGGGGACTGTTGGGTATTTTGTTGGAGAAAAGATAGTTTTGCCTTTGTGAATAGTCCCACATTGGGAAAAGAAATAAATAGTTGGTGGTTTATAATGGTGCTCCTCTTATTGGGCTTTGAATAGTGTTTTGAGTTTT